CCCCTCTTTTGTCGGCCATGCGGTACAAGTACTTTTTGTACAGTACGCGGAGATCGTCGTTCTTGCCAGGTACAGTAAATAATTGGCCTCGCTATATTTTACTTTAAAAATAGTCAAAATGGCTAATCGAATCTTAGTGGATATTGGTAGTAGAAACCTTCCTTGATTGGCTAATTTTTCGTATAAAATCTGTGGTTGGTCAATAATCACTAGAGTCAGTTGTTGGAATTCGATCACCGGGGCATGAATGTCGAGACAAGGCAAACGGACGCGACAGCTCCTGTGGGCGCTCTTGATAGCCACTAGCATCTCTAGAACCCACGCGCAGAGTTCCTCGTCCGCCGCGTCCGTGACCACAGCGGAGACGCTAGCGCAGGAATGGTTTACTGATAATTTCGACGAAAATGAGACGCAACTGGCGGTGGGAGTGAATTCAGCACTGAAGAATCTCACAGACAGCGATGTCATTTGCTACGGCGTTCCCTCAGTGCAGCGCCGCACAAACGAGGAAAGTCCGAACGGAGGATGCCCAGAAATCTACACGGCTGTGAACGCTTCATGCTCGTGCTTGACGAGTGGGTACTCGGACACGGGTACGTGGGAGTTCCACGTCGCGTTCAGGACCGACGAAGGCAGCGAGAAATATCCAGCAGAACTCACGTCATCAGATATTTTAGCCATCGACTCTATCCGCACTCTATTGGTTCCGTCCACTCTTACAACGCTGTGAGTTGAGTATTTTATATATATTTTTAGTACGAAGTAGAAATATTGATGTTGTGGGTGTCAACTGGCAACAGGCGGCTTGTTGGAGAGGGAACATACCCGCAAACTATCACGTTCGTACCACAGGACCAGGGCTTACCGGGGTCGACATTACCGATCGCACAAGTGGAGGACGGATCTATTGGGATTACTACAGTGTGAGTGACTAAAAAAATCACCGAAAAGTATATTCAATCACTTAATGAGCGTGGTTTGTTTTGTGGTACTAGCTCGCTGGAGAATATTGATATGTCCTCGATCACCCAGAGCGTATCGACGTTTTACCCTTCGTCGACGACGAACGTGTACGTTCGTATTAAACTGATAGTGTCCATTATTTTTATTAACCTCTCTTCATGTGGTGTATTGTGCAGCACGCTTAGAAACTGTAATATGATCAAATTTGGATATGATTTCTTCGAAGGTGTGGACAACGTGCGATATTTGTAAGTCCCGGTCATCTCGATAATGCCTGACAAGTATGCTGTAGTAAGTGGTAACGGTGCTTTGTGTATTTACAACAGGGATATGTCTTCAAACCACTTGACCGCTGCCTACGTTGGCTCATCGATCGCTCACACTTGCTCAAACCAATTCTGTGCAGTGGAAGTCTTGTAAGTGACTCTTATTATTGATTATCCGCAACCAACAAGAGCTGACCCGTGGATATTTTTATTTGCTGGAACAGAAACCTTACCAACAACAGCATCTCAACCTTCCCTACTGTGGTCTTCAATGTCGACAACTTGCAGGAATTGTACGTAAACAGTCTTTTCAACTTTATTCGTTTTATCAGACAAATACTAATGAAAATAATGCGTAAATTGCAGATACATCGCTGACAACGACATAACGGATTTTAACATTAGCTCGACAGTTTTCAGCGCGATTCAAGCTTTAGTAGCGTTCGACTCTGATCTTCCAGACGAAGCCTCCACTTGCACTCATGGAACGTGGCAAACTGCCCACAATCGCAAATTTTGCGTCACCAATGGCAGCACAGCAGGTATGTATCTCTAATATTTCAACTTACCCATTATACTCATATGTTTCTTTCATCAGCGAACACGACTTCAAGTGACTCGAACTCCTTGACTATCGGCTTGGTGGTTGGAGGCTGTGCTATTGTGATCATCGCTGTTGCATTGGTCGCCTGGTGGTATTTATCCCACAAAAAGTCCCATCGCATGTCTTCTTCGAAGGATGACTTTTACTCACAAGATTTCGGTGATACTCTCGACTTCGACGATACTCAAGTGCAAGTGGATCCAGTCTTCCTCAATGACCCTGTGATTGTCACAAACCGTCTGGACCATAAACTGTTAAAGATGGGTAGATGTATCAGCAAAGGTGGCTTCGGTTTAGTGTTCATGGGCGAATATAAAGGTCGTCGTGTGGCTATCAAGAAAATCCGACCGGACCGTAGCGTTACTACTGCGGAGATTGAGACGTTCCTCAAAGAAATTATCATGATGGCGGTGCTGTATCATCCGCGTATCGTGGAATTTATCGGCGTGGCTTGGGATAATCTAAGAAATTTATCTGCCGTCACGGAGTTCATGGATAATGGAGATCTACGCGAAGTGCTACACGGATATAAACTGAAGGGAGAACGGCTCTCCTGGGAGTCACACAAGGCCACGATCGCGCTGCATATTGCTGAGGCGTTGTCGTATCTTCATGCTCTGAAGCCCAAGATTATCCACCGCGACTTAAAATCCAAAAATGTTCTTTTGAACATGTATCTGGAGGCCAAGCTGAGCGATTTCGGCATTTCTCGGATGCGTTATCTGGTCGAGACGCATATGACTGCCGGTGTAGGCACGTCGTTCTGGATTGCGCCTGAGGTTTTACTGGGTCGAGACTATGATGAAGCGGCGGATATTTTCTCGTTCGGAGTGGTTTTATCCGAAATTGACACGGACGATTATCCGTACTGGAACGATGAAAATCCGTCGAATCATGGTAAAATCCAAGAAGCGGAGATTTTGAGTTTGGTGGCAGAGGGAAAATTGCGTCCGAGCTTCTCGAATGATTGTCCCAAGGCGATTGTAGACCTGGCGGACTGTTGTCTGCAGAAAAATCCAGAAGACCGCCCCACCGCTGCTGAAATTGTGGTTATCCTCGAGCACATGATCCACGCGTCGGAGCGCAGCTCTTCCTCGCTACACTCGGGAGCCTGGTCAGTCACGAGCTCAAACATGGGAAACTGACCTGTACATTCTTTTGAGGATTTTTTGAAGGTAAACGAACAAATAAGACTATTTATTTGTCGATACTTAATCAGATCTGATAATATCTGCATCCGATAAACTTTGACGGCCAAGATTTGAAGCGCTATGAAGAAGCAGAAGTCCACCTACACCGCACGTCGAGTAGGCTTTAGACTGTGAATAGCTGCAGTAGCAATAGTCTCCTGTCATTTTGTGCATCAATTTGTCGTTTTATTGCAGGAGGAAGCTCAGAGACTTCGTCAGGAAGTCAAGCGACTGACGTCGGAGCTGCAAGAGCTCCAATTCAGCTCACTATCTCCCGAAGATGCGGCGTTCCTGGACCCAGCAGTGCAACGTATTGTGGAGGAAAACCGTCTCTTGACGTCCGTGGCCAAGGGTGAGCAGCTCAAAGTCGCCACAGCGCAGTCGCTGCTCACAGCGAGTCTGGTAAGATAAAATACCGTTTATTCATCATGATAGGTAATTTTACGTAGCATTGTGCTTGACAGGGACCGCAAGAATCGCATCCACTGTACACACGGATCTGCCTGACCAAAGATTGGAGTGAACGTCAACAAACTCTGATGGTTGTACGTCAGCAAAAGCTACATAACGCCTATGATTTTTTAATGGCACCGGGGAGATTCGAGGATCCGGATAAGCCGCACACATCGGACCACCGCTACGAGACGCCCGAGGGGGATATCTGCGCCGTTCATGCAGAGGTCATGCATTTCCCTGGAGTCGAGTCGCTTGATAAAGTTTGGAGGGCCGTCATGTTCCACTACAACAACATCGAGATTGATATCTCGGAGAAATTGGGCCACACGACTGTGCGAGATGACTACGACTCAATCGAAGGAAGTGTGCATAATATTCGCGTTCTGTCGCACTCGGAGAACTGCACGGCCGTTGAAAGCAGCATCGTCACGTTCTCGCACTTCTTCACTGAGGACGAAGAGTTTGGGGGTCAAACATGCGGCGTTTTAGCACTTGATTGTATTGATGAGGATGAATTGTATCCTTACTATCCGGAAAAACGCGTTCGATTGGACACTTCGGGCGCTATCGTGTTGACAGCAAACAAGGGTTCGAACGATGGAGAGCTGGTTGTGACGCTTCGGCGTGCAGCATTCGTCAAGCTTTACAATCCGCAGTTCCCAATCTCAGAAGCCAGACGCCTAGAGCTTCAGACAGGGATTGGACAGTGGGGAGACGTGCTGATGAAGGCGATCCGTAGCTACGTGTACGGAGCTCTATAAGGCTCGATCAGCGAATTTAGGTCAATCAATGGCGCTGGTCGTTGCTTCACGGTACATTTCGACAATCATTTCGCTGCAGATGCAAGCGGGAGAACTATGAAACAGCTGCAAAACTCTCAGACTTCATGTTGAACTTAATAATTGATATACACGTATACCTTGATCAATTTTAGCAAACTACGCTAGCTACCCAAAATCATCTTCAAAATCTCGGTTGACAGTCACCATGGCATTGAAGTGGTTTCTTCTCCTGCTGCTCTCAGCGCTTTGCATGCGTCCGGTTCTCTCCCAGTCTCTCCGCGATGAACCCACACCTCCACATTTGCAGTCGCCAAGCTCTCGTCTTCCTCTCCGTCTCCAGATGCAAGATCTGTGCACAAATTTTGTGGTTATCTGCGACTTTGTGGCTCAGCACTGCAACCCCGAAGCTAAAACCCAACCTTGGATGAAAAACCCACCACTATCAGATGAAAAACCCAAATGCATCGAGAGCTTTAACTTATTCTACCAGCACAGCAACACTTTGACCAGCTGCATCCAAGAATTACCAGCAGATTCCAGTGAAAAGACCCAAGCTCTGCTGTTTCTGGAGTTCTACACGTCCTGGCAGCAGCAAAATGCCTGTAAGATGTTCCATGCCACAGAAGCGAAAGCAGCGACGGAATGTTCAGGTGTCAACGCTCATCGACCGTGGAGACAAACAACTTGGCCACTGTATTGCCACGAAGTCTTTACAATGTACAACAGCACACGACACGAACTGGACAAACTTTGTGAACGAACTCCAAATTCTGAGACGTTCTGGGAAGGATACGTGGATTATATCGGCTCCAAGACATGCAAACACTACTACGACATGGTGCGAGAAGCCAGAGAACGAGGATGTGGACAAAAGGATAAGGCATTACATGGACAGGAATGCCGAGAACTGTTCCATTGGTACGCAGATAACAAAGAGGTGATCGAAACAGACTGCTTCGAGTTGAAGGCCAGCAAACCGTTCTATCGGGGATTCTACACTTGGAAGAAACAGCAGAAATAAGTTTATGATATTTTGTTTATGGGTCGATGCATATTTTAGTTGAGTATAAGAAACTTTTCTTCCTATATTTTTATTAACTTACTGAAGGGCCGCGTGTCAGTAGTCGTATCATATTTAAGAGATTTCGACGACGACGGATGAGGATGCCGGCGGCGAGCGCATTGTTGCTGTTTTCAGCGCTGGCCATCGTCGATGCAGGTATCGTTGTAGTATCTTTTTGCTTACATGCTGTGGATGTGTATATTCATGCTTGGAGTGCTATTGAATTGGCTGTTCAGAGTTTGTATATTACGATTTTAATGGAACTACGGGATTAATACTAAACGGCAAGGCTGCTACGAGCAGCTGTGCACCGTTCAAGCCTGTATGCAGCACTTTGTCGTCCTTTACTTTTATTTTTTGAGACGGCAATGCTCAAATGATAAATTGTTTCATTCGCTTACGTATTCAGACTGCCTACTCAAAATTCGCCGGCGCTGCTGATGCTCGCGAAGCCACATTGGAAGTCACTCTGACCGAGCAACTTGAAGCGATTCGCCTTGAGACAAGAGACACGGAGAACCACATGACAAGTGGGCGGATCGCAGTAGAGACTGCCATGTTGGGTCATCGTGACGCTTTTGAAGCTAGCGAGGAGAAGCTTCGATGTCCTGTGCGACTGCGTCTCACTGCCTCGCAGCCACATCAAGTCTCGTCGGTTTGGTATGCGCAGCCACTCCCAGTTCTCCAAGGATTCGAGACGAGGTTCACTTTCCAGATCACTGACCAGTCGAGACGTTGTTTCGAAGTGAAAGATCAGAACTTTGGCCTCCACGAGTATCGGAGCTGTGCAGTTCATGGTGGTGACGGGTTTGCGTTTGTGTTGCACTCACACCAAAACCGTACGGCGACATTAGCGGCTGGAGGATCAAATATGGGGTTCAAAGGGATTCAAAACTCACTAGCTATTGAGTTTGATACCTGGTTTAACGATGAAAAAGCTGGAGAAGATGTCTTCTATGATCACGTGGCAATCTACTCTCGTGGTCAAAACATTAATACAGACGCTGAAAGCGCACGAATCTCTGCAGCTGCTGTGCATGACTTGGCCGATGGCAAGGTGCACGTGGTCAAGATCCGATATTATCCAGAGCTGAAGGTGATAATTTGATAAGACTAGTTGTCATAGTTGTACAGTTGCTAACGGATTGCGACTGTGTTAGTATAACTACGTGCCGTATTTCTCTGCGACTACAAATTTAGTCAAGTTCATAAAGGACGTGTCTGAAGGTCGAAGGGTGGGAACTCTCTTGGTGTTCATGGATGAAGGGATCAAAAACGATAAACCCATTTTGGCTATCCCTATTAATCTGGCGGCGACGTTGAGGTTGGATTCCGATGAGGCATTCGTGGTACATTTGAAGCTAAACCTACACGAGGTTCATATCTTGCCAGATTTTGACGATGTATGTCGATTCGCAGGGTTTCACGGCATCAACCAGTAGCTCATGGCAGAAGCATGACGTGCTTGGCTGGTACTACTGCACAGAGGTAAGTTTTACAAGATTTTTTGGTGAAGAACATGCCACTAACAAGCCATTGCTGTAGCCACCTTGTCTGGATCAGTACGACACCGAGATGACATTCGACTTCGACTACAATGAGCAGTCGATGCTTTCCACTGCTTCACACAGCAACACTCTTTACCCCATCTTTATCTACCCGGACACGGTGTCGTGGGCCAAACGACAGGCCTATTTTGCTTCCAACCAGAAGGTCGGACTCGTATCGTGACATTGTAGCGTGATTTTCGCAGCGGAAACAAATCATTACATGCACCCAAAATATAAAATATGGATACCTTATCCATAGTAAAAAAAAAACGGCGAGGAGAAACTGTTTTGTTTGATTTCTCTGTAGTCGAGATCAATCAAAAATGCACTCGTTGTATTATATGCATGTATCACACATGTTGATATAGTGGTGGAACGACAGCAGCACCTAAGAAAAGCAAAAATGTCTATCGTGCTGGTATGTCGTAGGCTTTTAGTTGTAACGAGTGACAGTACGGCCGTTCAGAGGCTGCACCGGGCGCGCGTTGTTGCCGTTGTCCGTGATGTGGTACTCAAGTAGGTCCTGGTGGAGACGGCCGAAGTCAACGGACGAGATCGTGATCGGGTTCTGCACCACCCACCAGTCGGCAGTCTCATCGCAACCAGGGGTGGTAAGACTGCCCGGGTAGTTGAAGACACCGCCAGTCTTGCAGGTCTGACGGATCAAATTCGAGTACGAATCCCTGAATCATCAAACATAGAAAACATCAGTGCTTTTTCCAATAAATGAATAACAAAGACGTAGTAACTTACAGCTGCACCACGACCGGGGCGGAACGCTCATCAGTCGAGTTGACGTGCTCAAGAGCGTCAAGCACGGGACCCAGCCACGGGTCTGACTTGGGGCCGACCTGCAGGAAGATACCCACCACCAGAAGAGCCTTGCCATCGGCAGACTGGTGGACGAAGTGGATCTCGCCGTCCAAAGCCTTGCCGTTCAGCGTGTGCTCCGAGGGAGCGTGCAAGTGGAACTGAGCCATGTTGTACGAGGCATCGTTCACTGCGACAGCGCAGTTGCCTATTCAAACATACCAAACGTATTAGAACCGAGTACATCTCAAATGACGAGACCAATCACAATGATCTTACCTCCAACGACGTCGACCTCGAGGGGCTCAGCAGGTGCCGTCAGGTTGTACTGAGGGCATTGTCCGCTGAAGCTGAGCGGCAGCTTCTTGCCCTTGCCGGTCTTGGCAGACGTGACGATGTCGATGGGAGACTGGCGCTTGCCACCGCAGGTCGGCCAGTTATCGGCCCACTTGTCAGTGTGCACCATGCTGGAGTCGTTCGCACGGTATCCCCATACGGGGCCAGTGGCAACGTCAGCGGAGACGGTCAGGGCGCAGGTAGCGACAGCAGCAGCGACGGTGGTGGCAATGAACTTCATTGTGATGGAACGCAAATGGATCGGAGAAGGCGAGTTGTTGCGTTGAGCGTAAATTGAGGAATGAGGAACTTGGAAAAGCGTTGCATTGCGGTGAGGAACGGCACAAGTGCATGAGGAGCCAAGTCTGGATCGGATGCGTTTTCCCACAGGATACCGTCATGGATTGCCTGTTGGGCATTGCATCCTTGATGGCGGAACTTCTGGAGATGAAGTTGCTGCAAGGACGTTCCCGAAAAATAGCCATCTGTACGATCGGCTATCCGCAACAACAGTCGAGTCAGTAGGTTTACCATTGTGGCGAAATACTTGTCAACGGCTTTGCAACCTTTTGCGTTATTTTAATCGATTTTTCGGTAAACTCTGACAACGTATAGTGTTGCATAAAAGTTTTTGGTTTCGTTGATTCGGTACTAAAAAAGACTTGAAATCTAATATTTTGCCTGATGTTGAATGGTTTTTGTCGTATCTAATTATGTGGTATAAAACGAATGCCAGACATATGAAAGTACTGCAGGCGGCACGATTTTTCTGTTTGATTTGGCATGTCCACGATGCTGACGTGATGACCTGCACGTTCCAAATAGCTTGAGCCCCATCAAGGTCAGGTACATCCAGACACACATACTATTATTGTCGCTTCGAAGCTTGATATTGTGCGAATGACCACTGAATTTGCATAGTGAACGCATTGCACCATTCGTTTTTATTGAAACCTGACATGTGTGTAAAGAATCTTTACATTCACTAAAGATCATGTTCGATCATCGAGTGTCGCTAGGCTGTGTAAGAAACGTTCGCTCGTTGCATTGAGAAAAGAACGGAATTCCACGCTGTTCGATAGAATTCGTTAAGAAAATAGTTCATGTATTATAATCATATCGGACAAATACTCTGCAAACACGAAGCCATCCGCACCACTGATAACATGCCTTCAATAAAATAAATAAAGAGTTCATGATATCCCCCATCGTAGCACGAAGTGCTGGTGACGTTGATCTCGTGACTAAAGCATGCAAATAAACAAACAGGCGTCACAGGAGCGCTGTTAACGGATTCATTTTTTTTTGTGTGTGTTGAGGAAGTGCCACATAGGTACACTCTGTTGTCAAATTGTACAGGGTTCAACACATTTCCTGCAACCGATGTAAGAACGTCCTCTATAGTGATTTTGTAAGAAACAGTACTATATGATTTACATGCGTAAAAAGTGTGCTGAGAATTGCCAACAGTGTTTCATTGGCTAGTCTTAGATGCAAACATTTCATAGCATGGACTTGTTTGCACAAAATATAGTTTAGAGCGATACGATTGGTTATTTTGTGCGATTTGAAGCTAAGGGTAATTACGCTGAATTCCGTGGTTGCAGGAAATGCACGGAATCCGTTGAAGTGCTCGATACTCACTAAAAGATTGCTGGAAAGTGTGGGAAAATACGGAAAATCCTCTCGGCCAAACGGTGATACAGCCTGTATCATACAGATGAGCCTGTTTAATATGAACTCGTAAAACGTGATGTCCTGTCGTATTTGATAGAAAATGATTCCACCGAACTGGTAGACTTGCTTTTTGTGACAATACTATCGAACTTGAACCTTGATGATAGAAAAAAAGTCAAATGTGGTCAGAATCAAAGGTCTTCCTACTAGTAGAAGGAATCCGTGGTACGTTTGGACATAAAATCACGTGCTCGTCCATTCTAAGCCGAGGTCATCGGAAATCAGTGTCTGAAAGGGTCACAGTTGAGACCGTGGAAAGCAGAGCTCGCAAACGTCGAATTTCGGGTTACCGCCCGGGCCCGATTGTTTTTCCTACTACATTTGGGTACCCGTACCCGCCCGACAGCAGTTTTGGGGAACCCGGATCTTGATTTTGGCCAATGGTACGGAGGTTACATCCTAGAGAATGACGATATACTCCGGTACACAGACCGTTACCGCCAATTTCACCAAGCGAGCTATTATGATAATTATATTTAGAGTATGATTTGTTTTCGTTGGCAGATCGTTTTTCTTACACCCACAACTACGGAGTCTTCCAACATAAATGCTTCGAGAAAAATCTGCAATATGCATGGTATTATATCTTGCTTTTAGCGTTCGCACTACCAGCGTCACCCAAAAGGAGGCTTCCGGCGTGCTAGTTCAGTAGTTAGCTGCAGCTCACACAGCCGGTCAGCTATTTTTTTTTGATGAAGTTGGATAGTGTTTTTGTTAGATATCTCGATTAGATCACCGCCCGATCCTGAGCTACAGCCTGATTTCGATGATTTCCGTATTCGCTATAATGCATTGAGTGTTGGGCTGACGACCACACTGTGAAATTATGCTAAAACAGGTTGCATTATACGCATCATTTATTTCCAGAATTTAGAGCTAATTCGGGTATACCAACCTCTACCCGAGGATGGTTTCGGGTACCCGGACCCTACTGAAAGGTCTGGTGTACAGTATCGTCAGATACAGATTTCCCCTCACTTCTAACATCGATTCATCGTTCTAATTACTGGCCGATATGTATTATAACGGTTCATTACTTCTTACAAGTGCGGTTGGGACATATGCAATATGATCCGAAGTCGTTCACGTAGCTGCAAGTTCTAGACCTCTCGCCAACTTCATTAAATATTATCCCGGTATGACGAAAGCAGTTTCCGTCGCTTACCGTCCGCATACGCTTTGCTCTTGATGCGGGGAATGTCCATGAAGGTAGTCATAAGAGTGCAGGTGGGATGCTCACCCTGCACAATAATAATATAATAAACACTCAGGTTAGGAGCTTTAAATTGTATTTCTGTATTTCCATAGATTTCCAGATTTGGAGTATTTCGTTCGAATCCCTCTTAAATTTCAGGAATGTGCATCACACAAACCGTCTTAACATGGTAAAGTTACAATAGTTGATCAAAGTTGTTTCACGGACTGTATTCGCTAATGGGGGTTAATCTGTACCGGTACACGTTAAAAAGCAGATCCACGGTATACAAACTGGGGTTGAAAAATGTTTCCCTCTACCTCTGGTAGTAGTTACATGAGCGATACGAAAAGCTGGATTATCGCTAATCAAAGGTTGTTAACTATGGCAATGAGAAGGACGGACAGTGAAGTCCAGCGCAAACCTTTTTCTTGCTTGCAGCATTGGTCAGTTGATAGACGGGTTCTCGGCGTGGTAGCCTTATGTCTGTCGGTGATGTACCCAGGAGGGGCAATAGTGTGTGTGTGGCTGGCGGTATTCTGCATTATGGCGTTGGTGGTGAATATAGTGAGAGCGAAGCTGATTGCCAGTCAACTTGGTAGGGCCTCCTCTGTATATCGAGTTTGGCTAGTGTTTGGTCTACCGACGCACTGAACTCGTGCATACAGCCACTACTAGAGGCGATGCTTTGATCTGGGAGGGCAGTGACTCTTTCCAGTGACATTTGCAAGTGCGGTTTGAATTAGTTATAGTTGGAGCCTCCAACTTGGAGGAAAGCACAGGCGACGCTGTTAGCAGCCTAACATTGTTCACTGAAGTGTCCTAAATTTTTGATGTGTTGTTACTAAGATCAACTAAGGTGAGCGAGTGGAAGGGTACGTAACCAAAGCAAACCGCGCGGTATTTGCGAGGCGAGCCCAGCATCGAACTCCGCCGGGAGCCGCGCATTGCACAGGCCAGTGGAGAGTATCATTTTATAACAAAACTTTGGACATTTATAACATCTTTAGGAACCGTGTCGAAAACTCTGAGTAGGGTCTGTTTAATATAGCAAAATTGTGTTCATTGCGAGCTGACTAACGAAACATTGAAATCTTGCCACTTAGTATAACGCGGTTCAGTTAAGAAAATTGAACTCTGTGATAGTGAAGACTTCCTGAGGTGTTGGTCGCCGAGTAGATTCTAAAGTGGAGAGAGCAAAGCAAGCTATTTCTTCATTCCTTCACGTCTACAGATTGCCCATTGTACAGAGCCTTCCCTTCGACGTCTTCTATGGACGGTTGTCTACCTCCTGATCGCTCACGGACTCCATGAGCTACTACAAGTGTGGTAATGCCGGCTAGGCTAATGCACGTTGAATAGGTTACCGTCTTACCCCGCATATTAGACATAGGTGTTCTAAACAAATACAACGCTGCTCGAGTGTTCTACCCGTTATAACGCCTGTGTGTGATATAGCGAACATAGCAGAAATAAGAAGAGCGACATATGTGGATTCTAGGATTTCGCTATACCTTTGAAAACTCAATTATTTAACGCCCGCACGACCAGCAAGCTGGCCTCCAGAGGCGTTGTGCTCGTTGAGCTATGTGTTGTAATCTTTATCATGGTGTGAGGCAGGCTGCAGATTTTAATTACCAGAATAATAATTGTGCAAAATGCTATGCTGCGGCTTTTTTCACCCTGTTCATCGTAAAGTTGTTTTTAACTAAAAAAAAAAAAAAAAAAAAAACCGGAGCGCGCAAGAGACTCCAGCAAACAATATAGCAACCACACGTTTCAGATGAATCGCTCTGTTGACTGTTTCAAATATATGCTGCTGTACTATTAGCTTTGATCCGTGTGTTCTATTCGGTAGGCGTTCAAAACGAGACTTGACCTCAATTTGAACAGAACAGTGCTTCGTTTTAAAGCACCTATGTCTAGTATGCGGATAATACGGTAGTTGCCGTTTACAGGTAACAAATGTAAATTGGAAGACTCTAGTACCTTCATGGCTAACGCAAGTCTGACTGTGACTCCAATACATACATTAGGCAAGGGCATTTCGAAAGAGGTTTCACGTGTGGATCGACGAGTGCGCAATGTGGGCACGGGTGACGAAGACAACGAGACGAAGACGGCGAAGATCTTGTGACGGGCCAAGGACGGCGAGTACAGAAGGTGCCAGTGAGCAAGGTGTTACCGTTCACACGTCAGTGTGCGGTAGGCGCAAGTGGTGAACGGCTATTGAGTCGGTGTATGAAGTGGCAGCCGACGAGGCTGAAGGCGTATATAAGGATAGCGACGACGGTGAAACCAGTGCGAAGGGGGGGGGGTGAGCAAGTGTAGTGAGAACAAGGGCGAGATGCCATCGGTTGGCAGGACCGGTTGAAAAGCAGTGAATGACCCTGCTCCAGGGTCGCTACAGCTGCACTATTGCAAGTGGCGGAGAGGAAGGTATAGTGGAAAGAGCGGTCAGTGTGAGATTTGCGCCGACGAGAACACTGTCGAAGTCGTGAGCGAGGGCGGTGAGCTTCGAAGCAATCCGTCACAAGAAGAGCGCGATTGCCGGTTTGGCGATAGCGTAGAAGACAGACAGCCTAACACAAAGTCAATAAACCGAAGTTGTCACCCGAGTGCCTTAGAGTCAATAAGGAGAGGACTGTGAAGCTGTCGCTACTGTTCGATCAGAAGAGGAAGCGAGTATCGCTCTTGCCCAACCTAGGCACTGCTATACTGTGCACACAGGCTAATCGTATCTGCGTGCCTCAGGTGCAAATATACTACACTTGAGACAGGTCAAGCCCTCAGAAGATAAAGATATGTCAATGAGCTTTTTTCCTTAACGTAGGCCTTAAACTAGCACATTTACGTATTCGTCCATGAGATTAATACGCACCCACGAATTCTAGTTCTCTTTACACCCAAATGATGATCAGATCGTAATTCTGCATATCGGCACTCCAGCGGTGTTTATTGATAGCATTCACCTTAAGTACTATTCCTTGTGGACAAAAATGCCCCGGACCTCATGGGCCACTCCAGGTCGCTATCTGCGAAGAACCTCAATCGTGAACCATGCCAATTGCTCTCCTTTCCAGTAATGAGATGCTTGACAGCAATGAGTTGATATTCCACCTCGCTACTGTGATCAGCGCCGTCCATTTCTTCAATTACTTGTTTTGGATATCCTCATCTACTTTGGATCTCAGGACACAATCACCTACAGAGAAATTCACCATCTGATAGCTTTCTCCATGTTTCTTGTTCAACAGTTACCTTTTATCACGCTGGTCTGCCACTTCTCGATGGATCTGCTCAAAAGTATTTCTTAGTGCAGCCAAGGAGTCATCGATGTGTTGTACTGAAGTATCCACGTTAATAGAGTCATAACCGGGGAAGTGTCGAGATCGGACTTGGGCACGGAATTCAGTAAAAAAAAATCTGGATCAAAGCCCTTCCATACAACTACTGTACTGGCGCGTGGTTGAGATTCGCTTGTACAAGCGGATCACATGTAACCAGCCTTGGTATGCGAGTGAGTAATCCAGTATTATTGAGCACAATTCTTACAACACATCTCGATTTATCCTCTCAACCGACCCATTTAACCATGGGTTGTATACTAGCCTCAATACTTTTGCTGAGTCGGGCTATTACTTGACTTTAAAAATGCGTGGCGTGGTGGAGTGGGATTCGCAAAAT